TGACCGTGGGGTGCGTACCCAATACGAGCCAGGAATAGCAGCAGTCACCAAAGGCAAGGGAGGGAGGGAAGGAGGAGGGAACCAAGGGGCCTGGGCCCCAAACGGGGAAATCTCATGGTGGGAGGAGGGCTGTGAACCAGTCGGATGCCAATAAGTGGTAGGGGTGGGGTTGAGAATCTAGGAAAAGGGGAGTGGCAAGACAGTGAAACTTGGGCTCAGGGGAAGCTTTTTGGGGCTTACCAAGCCAGGCTTTGGAGGGGCCAGGAAAAGGCTAGGGGAAAATGTCTGGGATCGTGCCTTAAAGGCGAGATGCCCAAGTCCCTCTGTGGTTCAGCGCACCGAGGCACAGTTTATTACAATGCAGCTAAAGGAGCCCATTAGCACTCCCTGTGAAGACGCTTCCCCCACCGAAATCATCACCATCATAACAACCAAACAATAGCAGGAGTGGGGGAAATCCCCCAACTGTCCCTGTAGCCTCACTTAACCTTGGTTTACCCTTCTTTGCAAATCTTACTGGAAAACTGCCTGGCCCCATCCTGTCCACTGATTCCTTGGTTGTGGTCACATGGGGTTATTAGGACGGCTGGGAGTCAGAGACAGGACCTCCACACCCCTAGCCTGGGATGCCAGAGGAAGTAACCCAGCTGGGCTGAGGCGGAGCTGCCTGGGTACTGGAGGGCTTGGACTTTACAAGGACCTGAGCAAAGTGAGGCAAAGCCTAAGCTCCCAGCCATCCCCCTCTGGGGAAGGAGCATGCCCATCCTGGACACCCTACCGGCCGTCAGCTCCCTTCCACAAGCAGGCCCAGCTTTGTTTTGGGATCCTAAAGTCAAAAGGAGAGACAGTTGAGTTCATCCTGCCCAAAAAGGGCCAGGACACAGCAACCTGTGTGAGTTCAGGGCCAGTGGGCTAACACGTGGCAGGTAGGAGGGAAGTTGGCTAGGAATAATGGAAACTTCCTGAAATTGACCCCAGGTGGGTCAGGCTGGAAAAACAAAACTGTTTCTGGCAGGTTTAGCTGGCTCACAGATAACTACGGCAGACAGATTGCCAAGAAGGCCACCAAGGCCCCTCCAGGGCTCCTCCTGGGCAGCCTCTGATGATGGTACCAGTTCCTTGGCTATGTGGGATGGAGGGCCAGCACCAAGGCTGCCAAGGGCAGGTGCCAGCTGATTTCCCCAAACAAATTATCAGCATGACTCGAGTCAAGGTTGCCTTGAGGAGCGTGGCCTCATTCAAGCCTCACATTGAGTGGGGGCTCCCACTCAATTCCTCCAATGATTCCTCCATGATTCTTTCGATCTTAACCTCCCCCAGGTGCCTGAGAAAAGGCTGTTGATCGATTCCCAACAGACACCCTGCTTCCCTGTCAATCTGGTCTTCTCGTTATCCTCCAAATACTCCGAGTTCATTCCTTCTCTTTGTGCCTTTACTAACACTTTCCCCCACTTTCATCTCTATGCCCCAGCCTCAGCCCAAATTCTCGTTGCCCTCCTGGGCAGCCTTCCCCGACTACCTCAGCCCACCTGGCCTCTCTGAGCTCCGCCAGCAGCAGCCAACAGGCCACGGCCACTGCTTGTGACCACATCCTCTTTGGAGCATTCTCAAGTTGCTTGCTGTCTGCTAGTTTTGTTTTCCTAGCTAGATTTGGAGGTTTGAGAGGACAGAGGGTTCTCACTTCACGGTGAAGTCATTCACTCCCTTCACAGGGTCATTGAGTCAGCAGGCTTGTGTGAGGCTAGAGTGAAAGGGACCCTAGAGGTCATCCACTCCAAGTTCTCCCAATTTACAATCACTCCACAAGCATTTATCAAGCTCTTATTATGTGTCACGAACTGGGGATGCATAGACGAAAGTGAGACAGGCCCCTGCCCTCGGGGATCTAACATTCCTCCACTGGAGAAAGGAACTCCAGAGAGAGAAGTACAATGACTTGGCCTCACTCTTCAGGCCAGTGTTTGGAGCTAGGACCAGAGCTCAGCTCTCTCCCTCTCAACTCAAGCCCCAGTGTTCTCCCATGATACTGGATTGCCCATTTGACTTCAAAGACCTTCTTCAAACCCCCTTTGCTATTGATCTCAATGGCTGTTCAAATATGGCCCACAGTCCACTGGACACCTCACTAAGGACAGGCTTCAGGCTTTCCTTGGGTTTATGGAAGCTGGGGTTTCCCTGGGGCATAAAGACTGCCAGCTTGGGCTAAGGCCACTTGGTAATCCTGGGAGGTGGAAAGTTTGCCCCTCTGGGAGGTCTTTGAATAGAAGCTGAACAACCATGAATTGGGTGAGTTGTAGATGATGTTCTTGGGTGTTGGGGCTACTCTGTCACATGGCCTCAGAGGTTGCTTCCTGCTCCAGGGACTGATGACTTTTCTATTTTCTGGACAGTCATGGACCATGACTGGGGCAGCTAGGTGGCTCAGTGGATAGAGTGCTGAGCCTGGAGTCAGGAAGACTCATCTTCATAAGTTCAAACCTGGCCTCAGAGGCTTGCTAGCTCTGTGACCCTGGGCAAGTCACTTAACCCTGTTTGCCTCACTTTCCTCATCTGTAAAATGAGCCAGAGAAGGAAATGGCTGAGCACTCCAGTGGCTTTGCCAAGAGCACCCCAAACAGGATCACGGAGAGTCGACAGAACTGAAATGACTCAACATCATGGAGCACTCACATTCTTAGCCCTGACCTCCAGTCACTGCTGGTCCACAAGCCACAGTGGCAGCAAGTGGCTAGTCCACTCAGTCAGGCTGCTTGGTACCATCTCTGCATTGGATCAAATGGTCTGATCCACATTCCCGTAAGCACATGGGATGGCCACCGATTTGTTGTTGGCAGAGAATATAAGAGACATGCGGAGGGATGTGAGTGCACTATGATCTATAGTACGGAATAGGGCAGAACACCGTTTCCTATTTTCTTCTTGCCTTCTGGAGAAGAAGAAAAGGCTCAACCATGGGGGCTAGTTGTCCGTAGGAAGCCTGAATGCTGCAGCCTGGCCGTGTTTACCATCGCCAGGGCCACCTTCCAGCCTCTTCAAACCAAGCCTTGGATTCCCCACATGGAAGATGCTGTTTCTGAACCATATCAGAGTTGACTCGTTATGAAGTGAGACAAAGCGGCAGGTGTGCTGGCCTTGGAAATTCTTAAAGAGTCAAAGCCCCATCAGAGAGAAGAGAAGACTTTAAGGCAGAGGAAACCCTGCCATATGATGCAAAGAAGGCTCTAACATTGTTGCCTTGTAGAAAGGAGGCTGTCCTTTGATTAGTGATGACTCAAGTCTCTCCAAGATGGCCCTTGTAAGACAAGGACCTTCTAGTCTACAGACAGTTTCCACCCTCTCACATCCCTCCCTCCACATGCCTGTACCCTTGAGGTATCGAAGCACCCCAGAATGCTGGAGCTTGGAGGGACCTTACCTGTCCCCTCAGTCCAACCTCCAAGTCCAAGGTCACCTAACTGGTGAGTGCCAGACCTTGAACCCCAGGCCTTCCTGTGCTCTCTCCACTGCCCCTCACTGAGAAAACACATGTGCCGGCTGCTGGGGCACCCCAGCTTTTCAGGTCTCCACATCTTGTAGCACATTCCTCTGGGTGCTGGCCATATCGCCCAAAGCAGTTTTTTGTTTCGGTACCTGGCCCAGAGCCAGTGCTTAATCACTGTTCACTGCACTGACTCAGTAAGACTCCAACAGAAAGAGTTGTGACTTGGAGTGTTTCTGAGGTTCCTGCTCCCCTCTCTTATCAAAGTGGTCACTTTCACCTTCTTCAGTCCCATCTGGAAAACAGGATCCAGTCCTTCCATTGTTTCCAGGCTCTGCTGAGGTCTCTAGAGTATGTAATGAGTGGCAAGAACAGTTCATGTTCTTCCTGGGGGTCACGCCTCTCACCAGGGCTCTCTGGGTGAGCGTGGTCCAGTCCCTTCCTTTCCTGGAGCCCCTGCATAGCCTCCCTCCTGGGACTGCAGTAAGGAACGTGCTTCGCAAGCTTAAAGCACTAGGCAGACATGAGCTGCCCTGGCTCCAGAGCCCCCAGGGCCACTGGTGAGGCCCTCATCGGTCCCCATTGCACTCCAATGGTCATAAAACACACCAGACTGCATGTTCCAGCATCCCAAACTGCTGTTAAGGGAGGTTTGTGGGCTTGGACCTCCTACAAGAACACATCTGTTCTTGTTCTACTGCTCTCTTTAATGGTACGCTGACTGCTTTTCTTAGCCCTTCTAACTGCCAAGACCACGACACAATGGACAAATCCAGTGGGAACCTTGGGAAATGACTCAGAAAACCCAGCTGCCATTCTCCTACTCTCAAGCACAGCCTTACTCATCTATCTCAGTGGCATCCTGCAGAGAGCCCCCAGCCTGGTGCAAACCCAACCCCCTGCTCCAGCCCCCTCCTCATGCCTGGTGCCTACATTCAGCACAAGACCCTGAATTTAGAAAGGGCTTCAGAAATGCAGCTTGTGAACACCTGGCTCCGGGGAAGTCAAGCCTCACCCTTCAAGCAAATGTCACCCCGGGAACAAGAGGTGTCAAGGCAGGGAAACCTCGTCAGTGGGACCTGACGCTCAGACCCGACGATCCCAGGAGAGGTTTGAGCAAAAGCCCCAGCTCCCCAGAAGTCTGCAGAGCAAAACAAACAGGCACCAATTCCCCTTTCCCTTTATTGTAAAAGGAAAGATAGAAGCTCAGTGTATACTCCTCATTGTCCTAACAATCCTGGCAGCCCAGCACCCGGTTACTGGGGGTCCTGACTCAGGACCCTCAGCAGGCAGACACCGGTCAGTATTTCTGCAGCCTGCATTCACAGGGACTCCAAAGAGCCTGCCATCTCACTGAAAGGGTGTTGGGGGCATCTGGTCCTCCCATTTCCCTGATGAGGACAGTACAAACAAGGTCTTTGAGCCCTTCCTCAGCCTCCTGCCAGCCCTCACTCAGGGAAACCCAGACAATCTTGCAGACATTTACTTATAGGGTCCGGGGAAGAAGAAGATAAGAGCTTACCTCTGAACAGGCAAAACCACATTCCGAAATCTGGGAGATAGTCTGTCCCTCAAGGGTCCCCCAGACCAGGGTTAGAAAAATGATGGCATTTCCTGAAAGCATCTCTGGGGTTGTGGGGAGCCCAGGAGAGTCTCTTGGAGGCTGGCCTCTCTACTTCCTCACTGAGACGCTGTCGTTCCTTCCCCACTATAAATAGGGCAGAGATTCCACATTTGACTCTTTGTGGGGGCGGGGAAGAGGAGGATGTGTGCTGATTTGTTAAAGCTCCTTTAGTATTTTAAAGACACCGATTCTCCCAGGGGAGGGAGCTGGGGAGCATTTAGTAACTGGAATTTCATAGATTCACAGAAGGCTAGAACTGCAGAGAATGTCTAGTCCAATGACCCCATTTTGGAGAAGGGGTTTACCTGAGGTCACACAGTGAGGATCAGATCAGATAACATATGGAAAGTGACTTTAGAAACCATATAGTACCCTAAGAATTTGACGTATAGTGATACTCAATAGCTCTTCAATGTTGAAATGAACTGTGGAAACTCTGCTGCCTGGACTGGATGATTTCTCAAACACCCTTCCAGGTCCAGGGTTCTACAACTACCATCTGTATTTTGTTGTTGAGTTGTTTCAGTCGGGTCCAACTTTTTGTGACCCAGTTAGGAGTTTTCTTGGCAAAGGTACCGGAGCGGTTTGCTGTTTCCTTCTCCAGCTCACTAAACAGATGAGGAAACTGAGGCAAACAGGGTGAAGTGACTTGCCCAGGGTCACACAGCTACTAAGTGTCTGGGATCAGATTTGAACTCAGGAAGATGAGTATTCCTGACTTCAAGGCTGGCGCTCTATGCGCTAGGGCGCCCTCTAGCTGCCCCAACCACCTATAGTTACAATTCCCTAATCTCTAGATCTCCAACCCAGTTTTCATACATCACTGATCACGTCACTTCCCTGCTCACGTAACGTCAGTGGCTCCCTCTTGTCTATGGGATAAAATTGTCCCACCTTTGTACCAGCTGCAGCTCAAGGCTGTAACAGCCTCTCTCTTCACTATTCTTCTTTAAGGTCTAACCCAGGTGACACCTCCTCCTTTACGTAGCCTTTCCTGAAGACAACCCCTCCCCACCCGCCACCCCCGACCCCTGGTCCTTCCTGCCTCCTGAGTTCCTAATGCCTTGTTCCTCCTTTGGGATGACAAGCTCTGTGTCCTTACCCCTGAGCAGTGTTTTCAAAGCTATCTGGGCTCTCTTTGCCTCAGCAGGCACAATTCATTCACATCTCCATCCTGGGCAATTTTGATCTGTCATTCCCTATCTTCTCCATAAAACACCCACCCCATGGATTGGAGGTGCTTAGTAAAGGCTTGCTGGATGGCTGAATAGACCCCAAATCCTTTTGGAGGGCCAGTCAAAGTGCTCATACATTCTGGGGATCGACAGAGAGAAATTCCCTATAGATCACATAAATGTCAGCCCATCTTGCCCCATATTCTAATCTGTGGTAATAGTGCCAAGGGATGCCTCAGCGTCATCCCCTTTTAAGAGGTCAGAGAGGCAGCCACCCACACACCCCCTACTTCTCCCTAAAAGCCTGCTACAGATGGGCCAAGTGGGAAGTAATTGAAGCTGATTTCTCATCTCCACTTTCTTCTTCCCACCCTCCAGGACCTCCCCTACTTGGGGGAGGAAGTGGGGCTGAGATCCAAGCCAAGCCAAATCTTTCAAAGCTGACTGATGGGGCAAGTTGAAACAGAATGGAAGCGTGGCATTTAATTTGCATAATTAATTCCTGGGGGAATTCCTCTTTGGAGAGGCCAACCACAATCCTTCATCCCCCGAAAGACCTTGAGACCCAGGAAGCCTTCAGTTCTGGGAAGGGGGAAAAAGAGACAATCCATACACACCCACAGGCTAGTAATGCAGCTTGGTAGCTAATGGACTGAAGTCAGGATTTAAGACAAACACTAAGTCGAACGTGGTGGGCTGTGTTACCTCTGGGCCCCCAGTCAGACAGAGACTAGGGCTGCCATGTGAGTGAGAAGCTAGATTCCTCGAGGAAGGTGGCCTGGAAGATAGCTGCAAGCCCCATCCCTATAGGCTCAGTGGGCAGCAATGGAGTTAACTGGCCATTTGGTCACTGCTGGCTGGCCACACGCTAAATGACAGCTCAGCCAGCCAGTGACAGGACACCGGGCTGGCTGGACGAATGGAGGGAGGGAACTTCCTCAGCCCCCACACTGAGCAAGGTGCCAGATGAGCCTCTTTCTCCCCTGGCACAAAAGTGGACACCCCAACGGCTAAGCACTTCCCTGAGTGACTAAAGGGGCAGAGAGGGGAGGGCACAGCACTTCTTCAGCTGATATCTGGCTAATTACCCAGGTGTGGTTAGAGCTCTGTGTGAGAGCTTTCACTAATGATTTGAGGACCTCATTAGCAACCAACTCCTCTGTTCTTATGCCTGGGACAGCCAGGGTTTCCGTAACCCTAGCTTCTGTCAAGATCCTGGGGTCCTGCTTCTGGATTCTTTCTCCTACAATTTAATTTGCCTCAAACGCTGGGAGGATGTGTGGTTAGGAAGGGTTTCTGCTTTCAAAGCCATGCTTTACCAACAGTGTCCATCTATGGAGTTTCCTAGGGCCTTCCTCACAGCGGTCCTGCCAGCTAGGGAGTGCCAGGCTCTCCACACCCCTCCTGACCAGATGATCTGGGTCACTCACTCTCAGGTGCTCTTCCAAGGCATCAGAAACCCTTTTCCCTTTCTTTTGAGGCTAACTCAACTTTCACTTGACTTAGTAGAAGGCAGGGGGTGTGTAGTAAGGATAGACAGGATGTAGGCTAAACCAGATCTTTCCCCCCCTCTCTGTCAGAACAGCCTGACAAGGTCAGTGACTACAATGGCAGAATCCAAGAGAGCAATATGAATTCAATCATGGTCACTCTCCAGAGAGCTGGGTGCTCCCCAGACTTCCTGGGGAGGAATGCAGGTCTGCCAATGGTCACCTTTGCTGCAGTCAGTCCTGGATCCTCTGCCACCCGGAAGCCCCCCAGTGCAGGACCAGAAGCCAGTCATTAGGAACTCCAAGACAGATGTTACTTTCACTCTACTTGGCCAGGATGCGAATAAATTCTGAATTGGGCTAAGTGCTTTCATTTTCATTCTACAAAGGAGAGAAAGAGGTGGGAAAGAAGGTTGTGTCCAACTATCACTGGCTCAAGAGTGTCCTCTCCTAGATCACCAACCAGGTGCTGCCTCTGTTCAAATCCAGGTAGATGTCAGCTTTGCCCCTTTTAGATGACAGCCTCAATCATTCAGAGGAACTTGAGTGTGAACCCATAGGACCAGGGACTTAGAGATGGTTGAGACGTTGGAGGTTGGCACAGAAAGGTTAAATACCAGCCTGGGATGTGAATTCAGGTCTTCCTGGCTCCAAAGCCCTACCTGTTCTTCCTGGGGAAGCAGTCTATTTGTGCTGTCTGTCCAGTCGTTGTCAAGGATAGCCCTAAGGAATGAGATCTGAGGTGAGAAAAGCCCAACCCTGCCAGTTCATTTGTCAAAAGTGAGGAAATCAAACAGACTCCCTGATCTCCCTGGTCTCTGCTGCCCTCCAGACTTTGGAACATCAGGGCCAGGGCACCATAAGCAGGGGAAAATCACAGACAGTCCCAGAACGTGGAGGGTCAGAGCTGGAAGGGGTCCTACATCAGCCAACAGCTGACCTTGATAGAGAAACCTTAAAGAGGTCTGTAAAGTGCTGCACAGATGCTAAGTCATTAGATCCTCACAACAGCCCTGTCTGGTGGGTACTATTATCATCCCTGTTTTAGAGATGGGGAAGCTGGGGCTGAGTGGTGAAGTGACTTGCCCAGGGTCCACAGCCGGTATCTGAGGCAAGACTCAAAAGCAAGTCTTCTCACCCATAAACTGTACCACTGAGCTGTCCAATGAACAGCAGCAAAAGAGCAACTATCCCCAAACCATTCGGGAAGGGGGCACTCTGAGGATAAGACAGTTGCTCAGAGCTTGAGTCTAGGCCCCAGGAAAGTTTGGTTGGTGGCAAAGCTATGCCTCCCCCCAAGGCCATTTTTCTAGCATTTGGCTGGAAAGTGAGTTGCAGCTCATTAGAACCCACCCTCACCCCTACTCCTGCAAGAGGTAAATAGCCGGACAAGCCAGATGAACCTGTCTAGAATATCTCCTGATGCCAGTGTCCTCGTTAATCCCTTCTTATCCTGCTTCCTGAGTAACACTCCCTTGTTCACCATTTCCCACCATCTGTATATCTGCCCTCCTGACAACTGGAAAGCCCCTGCTATGATGGCTTTTAGAAGCTGGCCTGGTCTCTAAGTCTCCACCTCCACCACCTTCCCACCCCTGTCCTCATTTCCAAAGCAAATATTTGAATCTGAAAAGACCCAGGACCACAAAACATTGTGATGTGAACAGGGTTTGAGAGACATAGATGGGGGTTGAGGGAATGACCTCTGTGGTCCTTCCAGTTCTAAGCCCATGACCCCACGATTCTATAATGAGGCTGGGGACTCATTCATCATCACCCTGAAGGGGGACCCAGCAGAATCAATCAATTCCAGCACCTACAACATTCTCCACTGGTATCCTGCCAGTGGGATCCCGGGAGGCAGAAAGGTGGTGCTTTGAAGTCCCCGACCTGTTGGAGGAAATCCTGTTGGGACCAAACTACCCCTTCCATGTTGGCTCATAGGGACCGGCTTAGCAGTGTGGCAAACACTGGACTTGTTTTGTGGCATTCCAGTGAAGTCCAGCCTTCTCCCAAAGCAGTCCATTCTGGAGCTCAGGGACAGAAATGCATGGAATCCTTTTGCTACCCCACACCACCTGTAAAAAGTACTACTGTGAAAAACGTGTCCTTCCCCTGGAATATCTTGGAAAAACTCCACACACAAGGTTGGTCACTTACATGAATGGATTTTTTTTTTGCTTGTTTGTTTAAACAAAACACACACACACACAATAAATCAGACTGTCTAGGAATCCATTTAGGATGCTATAAATTTTCTAGGGAAAGTGGGTGTTTCAGAGGTTCTGCAGGCTGCCCACCATTCTTTTGGATGGGCCGTTCTGCCCATTTAGAGGGACATAGGCGTTTCCTTGTAAGATCGTGGCACAAAAGGAGCTACAATGCTTGCAGGTCTTTTCCATCTGAAACGTTCCTTTGCAAACGAGGCAAGGGGCTGGGACGCTGCTTGGCAAACCTGCAAAGAGGAAGATGGAAACTGGCTTGAAAAGCAGTGCAGAGCACCAAGGCCAGCCTCAGGCTTGTCTAGACCAGATGCCCCAAAGCTGGGCTCTCTTTACAACAAACATGAATTCAGCAGACACTCACCGTGTGCAGGGCTTTGTCCTGGAAGATTAAACATGAAAAATGGAGCTCCTGCCCTCAAAGAGCTTACAATCTAAAAGGAGAGCTAGGGCACAGGCATATGTAAGGGCGGGGCATCGAATGAGGAACTCAAATAAATCGTCCCACCCACTGAAACAAGGGACAAGTCACACCCTAACCAGGTGGAAATGGCCTGTCTCCATCCCAGGTTTTAGACCAGGTGGGGAAAAGTCTTGGGAGCTAGAGGGATGCTGTCCCCGAATCATGTTCAGGTGGGCTGAGGCCTCATCTATAAAATAAGATGCTGGATTATCCATGAGATTATAGCAAGCCGTGGTGGAGACTTCCTGGCAAAATCTCTCCTGTACAGTTTGTGTGTGTGTGTGGGAGGGGGGGTGGTTCTAGACTACTTCCCATCCCCCATCAGTATCCTAGCAGTACCCCCAGATCAGTTGATGGCAGTGCCATCGGGAGCCGATGACTGGATGCAGATCAGCATCTCTACAAGGGGTCCAGCAGAGACCTCCTCGAGTCCTCCACAAAGGGGAGAAATGGACTTCCAGCACACAGGAACTCTGAGTTACCTCCCACTACCCACGCCATTGCCATGTGTAACCTTCAAAGCTTGAGCCCACTTTCCCCAGGAGATTGTGTCACAGGTTTTGGTTGGTTTGTTGGGAGGGGCATATTTTGTACCAACTATGCCATCTTAGTAAATACCCTCTTCCTAAAAGCTAATTAATTAAGTCTAACCAACTAAATTATTACCACACACTCATATGTCTTAGCACCACACAAAAGATGACACCAGCCTCTCAAGGCTACTCCTAGAACCTCATGTTCTAGGGCTCTGTGTTCATTAGGGTTCACCTAGTTGTGTTTTAGGCTGTGTTTGTCAAGGCCAGTAGGAGTTGGGATAATTGAAGCCCAGTTTGACCTAGCAAATAAGGCACAGGACTTGGAGTCAGAAAGGTCTGAGTTCAAATCCCACTCCAGATACTTACTGACTTGCTGTGTGACTCTGGACACAAAGAGTTGGACTCTAAGGTCTATGATGCTAAGATCTTTGGAGTGAATTCATTTTTCTAGAGACAAGGAAGCAGGAGGGTTACTCTCTAGGATGCCCTCCCATGGCTTTCCTTCTTGGATCTATCCCCCATATGGAAAGGGGCACTTCCTTCCCTCTTTCCTCCCTTCTTT